CAAGAGTGTCCTCAAGAGTGTCCTCAAGAGTGTCCTCAAGAGTGTCCTCAAGAGTGTCCTCAAGAGTGTCCTCAAGAGTGTCCTCAAGAGTGTCCTCAGAGAGTGTCCTCAAGAGTGTCCTCAAGAGTGTCCTCAAGAGTGTCCTCAAGAGTGTCCTCAAGAGTGTCCTCAAGAGTGTCCTCAAGAGTGTCCTCAAGAGTGTCCTCAGAGAGTGTCCTCAAGAGTGTCCTCAGAGAGTGTCCTCAAGAGTGTCCTCAGAGAGTGTCCTCAAGAGTGTCCTCAAGAGTGTCCTCAAGAGTGTCCTCAGAGAGTGTCCTCAAGAGTGTCCTCAGAGAGTGTCCTCAAGAGTGTCCTCAAGAGTTGACTCAAGAGTGTCCTCAAGAGTGTCCTCAAGAGTGTCCTCAAGAGTTGACTCAAGAGTGTCCTCAGAGAGTGTCCTCAGAGAGTGTCCTCAAGAGTGTCCTCAGAGAGTGTCCTCAGAGAGTGTCCTAAAGAGTGTCCTCAGAGAGTGTCCTCAAGAGTGTCCTCAGTGAGTGTCCTCAGAGAGTGTCCTCAGAGAGTGTCCTCAAGAGTGTCCTCAGAGAGTGTCCTCAAGAGTGTCCTCAAGAGTGTCCTCAAGAGTGTCCTCAAGAGTGTCCTCAAGAGTGTCCTCAGAGAGTGTCCTCAAGAGTGTCCTCAGAGAGTGTCCTCAGAGAGTGTCCTAAAGAGTGTCCTCAGAGAGTGTCCTCAAGAGTGTCCTCAGTGAGTGTCCTCAGAGAGTGTCCTCAGAGAGTGTCCTCAAGAGTGTCCTCAGAGAGTGTCCTCAAGAGTGTCCTCAAGAGTGTCCTCAAGAGTGTCCTCAGAGAGTGTCCTCAAGAGTGTCCTCAGAGAGTGTCCTCAAGAGTGTCCTCAAGAGTGTCCTCAAGAGTGTCCTCAGAGAGTGTCCTCAAGAGTGTCCTCAGAGAGTGTCCTCAGAGAGTGTCCTAAAGAGTGTCCTCAGAGAGTGTCCTCAAGAGTGTCCTCAGTGAGTGTCCTCAGTGAGTGTCCTCAGAGAGTGTCCTCAGAGAGTGTCCTCAAGAGTGTCCTCAGAGAGTGTCCTCAAGAGTGTCCTCAAGAGTGTCCTCAGAGAGTGTCCTCAGGGAGTGTCCTCAAGAGTGTCCTCAGAGAGTGTCCTCAGAGAGTGTCCTCAAGAGTGTCATCAGAGAGTGTCCTCAGAGAGTGTCCTCAGAGAGTGTCCTCAGAGAGTGTCCTCAAGAGTGTCCTCAGAGAGTGTCCTCAAGAGTGTACTCAGAGAGTGTCCTCAAGAGTGTCCTCAGAGAGTGTCCTCAAGAGTGTCCTCAAGAGTGTCCTCAAGAGTGTCCTCAAGAGTGTCCTCAAGAGTGTCCTCAAGAGTGTCCTCAAGAGTGTCCTCAGAGAGTGTCCTCAAGAGTGTCCTCAAGAGTGTCCTCAAGAGTGTCCTCAAGAGTGTCCTCAGAGAGTGTCCTCAAGAGTGTCCTCAGAGAGTGTCCTCAAGAGTGTCCTAAAGAGTGTCCTCAGAGAGTGTCCTCAAGAGTGTCCTCAGAGAGTGTCCTCAAGAGTGTCCTCAGAGAGTGTCCTCAGAGAGTGTCCTCAGAGAGTGTCCTCAGAGAGTGTCCTCAAGAGTGTCCTCAGAGAGTGTCCTCAAGAGTGTCCTCAAGAGTGTCCTCAAGAGTGTCCTCAGAGAGTGTCCTCAGAGAGTGTCCTCAAGAGTGTCCTCAGAGAGTGTCCTCAGAGAGTGTCCTCAGAGAGTGTCCTCAAGAGTGTCCTCAGAGAGTGTCCTCAGAGAGTGTCCGCAGAGAGTGTCCTCAGAGAGTGTCCTCAGAGAGTGTCCTCAAGAGTGTCCTCAGAGAGTGTCCTCAAGAGTGTCCTCAAGAGTGTCCTCAGAGAGTGTCCTCAGAGAGTGTCCTCAGAGAGTGTCCTCAAGAGTGTCCTCAGAGAGTGTCCTCAGAGAGTGTCCTCAGAGAGTGTCCTCAAGAGTGTCCTCAAGAGTGTCCTCAGAGAGTGTCCTCAGAGAGTGTCCTCAGAGTGTCCTCAGTGTGTCCTCAAGAGTGTCCTCAAGAGTGTCCTCAAGAGTGTCCTCAGAGAGTGTCCTCAAGAGTGTCCTCAAGAGTGTCCTCTAAGAGTGTCCTCAGAGAGTGTCCTCAGAGAGTGTCCTCAGAGAGTGTCCTCAAGAGTGTCCTCAGAGAGTGTCCTCAGAGAGTCCTCAGAGTGAGAGTGACCTCAGAGAGTGTCCTCAGAGAGTGTCCTCAAGAGTGTCCTCAGAGAGTGTCCTCAGAGAGTGTCCTCAAGAGTGTCCTCAGAGAGTGTCCTCAAGAGTGTCCTCAAGAGTGTCCTCAAGAGTGTCCTCAAGAGTCCAGAGTGTCCTCAGAGAGTGTCCTCAGAGAGTGTCCTCAAGAGTGTCCTCAGAGAGTGTCCTCAGAGAGTGTCCTCAGAGAGTGTCCTCAAGAGTGTCCTCAAGAGTGTCCTCAGAGAGTGTCCTCAGAGAGTGTCCTCAGAGTGTCCTCAGAGTGTCCTCAGAGTGTCCTCAAGAGTGTCCTCAAGAGTGTCCTCAGAGAGTGTCCTCAATAGTGTCCTCAGAGAGTGTCCTCAAGAGTGTCCTCAAGAGTGTCCTCTAAGAGTGTCCTCAGATAGTGTCCTCAGAGAGTGTCCTCAAGAGTGTCCTCAGAGAGTGTCCTCAGAGAGTGTCCTCAGAGAGTGTCCTCAGTGAGTGTCCTCAGAGAGTGTCCTCAGAGAGTGTCCTCAAGAGTGTCCTCAGAGAGTGTCCTCAAGAGTGTCCTCAAGAGTGTCCTCAAGAGTGTCCTCAGAGAGTGTCCTCAGGGAGTGTCCTCAAGAGTGTCCTCAGAGAGTGTCCTCAGAGAGTGTCCTCAAGAGTGTCCTCAGAGAGTGTCCTCAGAGAGTGTCCTCAGAGAGTGTCCTCAAGAGTGTCCTCAGAGAGTGTCCTCAAGAGTGTCCTCAGAGAGTGTCCTCAAGAGTGTCCTCAGAGAGTGTCCTCAAGAGTGTCCTCAAGAGTGTCCTCAAGAGTGTCCTCAAGAGTGTCCTCAAGAGTGTCCTCAGAGAGTGTCCTCAAGAGTGTCCTCAGAGAGTGTCCTCAAGAGTGTCCTCAAGAGTGTCCTCAGAGAGTGTCCTCAAGAGTGTCCTCAGAGAGTGTCCTCAGAGAGTGTCCTCAAGAGTGTCCTCAGAGAGTGTCCTCAAGAGTGTCCTCAGTGAGTGTCCTCAGAGAGTGTCCTCAGAGAGTGTCCTCAAGAGTGTCCTCAGAGAGTGTCCTCAAGAGTGTCCTCAGAGAGTGTCCTCAGAGAGTGTCCTCAGAGAGTGTCCTCAAGAGTGTCCTCAGAGAGTGTCCTCAGAGAGTGTCCTCAGAGAGTGTCCTCAGAGAGTGTCCTCAGAGAGTGTCCTCAGAGAGTGTCCTCAGAGAGTGTCCTCAAGAGTGTCCTCAGAGAGTGTCCTCAGAGAGTGTCCTCAGAGAGTGTCCTCAAGAGTGTCCTCAGAGAGTGTCCTCAGAGAGTGTCCTCAAGAGTGTCCTCAGAGAGTGTCCTCAGAGTGTCCTCAGAGAGTGTCCTCAAGAGAGTCCTCAGAGAGTGTCCTCAGAGAGTGTCCTCAGAGAGTGTCCTCAAGAGTGTCCTCAGAGAGTGTCCTCAGAGAGTGTCCTCAGAGAGTGTCCTCAGAGAGTGTCCTCAGAGAGTGTCCTCAAGAGTGTCCTCAGAGAGTGTCCTCAGAGAGTGTCCTCAGAGAGTGTCCTCAAGAGTGTCCTCAAGAGTGTCCTCAGAGAGTGTCCTCAGAGAGTGTCCTCAGAGTGTCCTCAGAGTGTCCTCAGTGTGTCCTCAAGAGTGTCCTCAAGAGTGTCCTCAAGAGTGTCCTCAGAGAGTGTCCTCAAGAGTGTCCTCAAGAGTGTCCTCTAAGAGTGTCCTCAGAGAGTGTCCTCAGAGAGTGTCCTCAGAGAGTGTCCTCAAGAGTGTCCTCAGAGAGTGTCCTCAGAGAGTCCTCAGAGTGAGAGTGACCTCAGAGAGTGTCCTCAAGAGTGTCCTCAGAGAGTGTCCTCAAGAGTGTCCTCAAGAGTGTCCTCAAGAGTGTCCTCAGAGAGTGTCCTCAGAGAGTGTCCTCAAGAGTGTCCTCAGAGAGTGTCCTCAAGAGTGTCCTCAAGAGTGTCCTCAAGAGTGTCCTCAGAGAGTGTCCTCAGAGAGTGTCCTCAGAGAGTGTCCTCAAGAGTGTCCTCAGAGAGTGTCCTCAGAGAGTGTCCTCAGAGAGTGTCCTCAGAGAGTGTCCTCAAGAGTGTCCTCAAGAGTGTCCTCAGAGAGTGTCCTCAGAGAGTGTCCTCAGAGTGTCCTCAGAGTGTCCTCAAGAGTGTCCTCAAGAGTGTCCTCAGAGAGTGTCCTCAATAGTGTCCTCAGAGAGTGTCCTCAAGAGTGTCCTCAAGAGTGTCCTCTAAGAGTGTCCTCAGATAGTGTCCTCAGAGAGTGTCCTCAAGAGTGTCCTCAGAGAGTGTCCTCAGAGAGTGTCCTCAAGAGTGTCCTCAGAGAGTGTCCTCAGAGAGTCCTCAGAGTGAGAGTGACCTCAGAGAGTGTCCTCAGAGAGTGACCTCTAAGAGTGACCTCTAAGAGTGTCCTCAGAGAGTGTCCTCAGAGAGTGTCCTCAGAGAGTGACCTCAGAGAATGTCCTCAGAGAGTGACCTCTAAGAGTGACCTCTAAGAGTGTCCTCAGAGAGTGTCCTCAGAGAGTCCTCAGAGAGTCCTCAGAGTGTCCTCAGAGTGTCCTCAGAGTGTCCTCAGAGTGTCCTCAGAGAGTCCTCAGAGAGTCCTTAGAGTGTCCTCAGAGAGTGACCTCAGAGAGTGACCTCTAAGAGTGTCTTGTTTGTCCCGGTATCTGCAGCACTGACAGTTTCTAGAAGTCCCATCTCTGCGGCTCCTTCTCCTCACTCAGTTTCTGAGGCGTCTCACCCCCCGTCTCACCCCACATCTCACCCCCCGTCTCACCCCCCGTCTCACCCCCCGTCTCAAACTGTCTCTCAACCCCCGTCTCCCCCTCTCTCTCCCGGATGATTTCCACCAGCCTCTGAAACTTTTGGTTCAGCTCCTCCATGCCTCCCCCCCCCTCCCCCGCCGCCCCCCCATTCCCCCCGTCACTGTCCAATGAGCTGAGGCTCTCGGCTCTGGAGTCCCGCCCCTCGAACTGATAGGTCTGCAGGGAGTCGAAGGGGGGCAGCGAGGGGTCGCAGGTCAGCTGGTCCAACCGGATGTTCAGGAGCTCCTCCATGGGGAGGGGCCGCGGGGGGGGCATTCCCTCCACAGGTAAAGGTGGAAGGAGGTCCTTCCTCGGTCTGCACATGCTCAGTAGCGTCGCTCCCACTGCCTGCCCCCCCCCCAGAGATCCCCCCCCCCGGCTCGCGCTGAGCGACCCCACGATGCTGTAGGAGTCTTTTTGCAGCTGGGGGGCGGAGGGGGGGGGGCTCCGAGCGGATGGAGGAGTCGGTGCTGATCTGAGTCTGATTGGACCCCCGCCGGCCCCCCCGCTGAGAGGAGGTGGAGCTTAGGGAGTCCATGAGGCTGCAGACGGTCACAATGGAGGGGGGGGGCAACTCTGCTGGATTCATCTGTAAACAAGAGAGGGGGGGTCAGACACAGGGAGGACAGTACGGAGGCTCAGATAGGACACACTTATTCAGAGATTTGGATTTGAGATGTTTAAAGAACACGTCACAGTTTCTTAGACGTGTTTCTATCAATACATGTTTTATGTTTCTCTGCGTTGCTCATTCTGCGTCTTGGGCTTCTTGGTTGGGCGACGGTTTGGTGAGTCAGAGACGAGCAGGGACAGGCGTGCGGAGGCTCAGATATTCTCCCCATTGCATCTAAAAGGTCGACCAATCACAGCTCACTCTGATGTTTCCATTGTTCTGCAGATTGATGTCTTTCCCGGTTTCTTCTGTGAAGGTGTTGATGCCTTCAGGGACCAACAGAACCAAGGAGATGATGCCTTCAGGGACCAACAGAACCAAGGTGATGAGGCCTCTTTGCTCTTTGTATGAACTCTGACCTCTGCGCGCTCCAGATACGCCCTTTCTCAATGTGGTTCTTATCCTGAACTATGCTCTGTGGTGAATTCAAGCTGAAGAGAACAAAGTGTCTAAATGAAAACCCATTGGACCGGGAGATGCTGCCTTCAGGGACCAAAACAACCAAGGAGATGCTGCCTTCAGGGACCAAAACAACCAAGGAGATGCTGCCTTCAGGGACCAAAACAACCAAGGAGATGCTGCCTTCAGGGACCAAAAGAACCAAGGAGATGCTGCCTTCAAGGACCAACAGAACCAGGGAGATGCTGCCTTCAGGGACCAAAACAACCAAGGAGATGCTGCCTTCAGGGACCAAAACAACCAAGGAGATGCTGCCTTCAGGGACCAACAGAACCAAGGAGATGCTGCCTTCAGGGACCAACAGAACCAAGGTGATGCTGCCTTCAGGGACCAACAGAACCAAGGAGATGCTGCCTTCAGGGACCAACAGAACCAAGGAGATGCTGCCTTCAGGGACCAACAGAACCAGGGAGATTCTGCCTTCAGGGACCAACAGAACCAGGGAGATGCTGCCTTCAGGGACCAACAGAACCAAGGAGATGATGCCTTCAGGGACCAACAGAACCAAGGTGATGCTGCCTTCAGGGACCAACAGAACCAAGGAGATGCTGCCTTCAGGGACCAAAACAACCAAGGAGATGCTGCCTTCAGGGACCAAAAGAACCAAGGTGATGCTGCCTTCAGGGACCAACAGAACCAAGGAGATGCTGCCTTCAGGGACCAACAGAACCAGGGAGATGCTGCCTTCAGGGACCAACAGAACCAGGGAGATTCTGCCTTCAGGGACCAACAGAACAAGGGAGATGCTGCCTTCAGGGACCAACAGAACCAAGGAGATGCTGCCTTTAGGGACCAACAGAACCAAGGTGATGCTGCCTTCAGGGACCAACAGAACCAAGGAGATGCTGCCTGCAGGGACCAAAACAACAAAGATGATGCTGCCTTCAGGGACCAACAGAACCAGGGAGATGCTGCCTTCAGGGACCAACAGAACCAAGGAGATGCTGCCTTCAGGGACCAACAGAACCAGGGAGATGCTGCCTTCAGGGACCAAAACAACCAAGGAGATACTGCCTTCAGGGACCAACAGCACCAGGGAGATGCTGCCTTCAGGGACCAAAACAACCAAGGAGATGCTGCCTTCAGGGACCAACAGAACCAAGGAGATGCTGCCTTCAGGGACCAACAGAACCAAGGTGATGCTGCCTTCAGGGACCAACAGAACCAAGGAGATGCTGCCTTCAGGGACCAACAGAACCAAGGAGATGCTGCCTTCAGGGACCAAAAGAACCAAGGTGATGCTGCCTTCAGGGACCAACAGAACCAGGGCGATTCTGCCTTTAGGGACCAACAGAACCAGCGAGATGCTGCCTTCAGGGACCAAAAGAACCAAGGTGATGCTGCCTTCAGGGACCAACAGAACCAAGGAGATGCTGCCTTCAGGGACCAACAGAACCAGGGAGATGCTGCCTTCAGGGACCAACAGAACCAGGGAGATTCTGCTTTCAGGGACCAACAGAACCAGGGAGATGCTGCCTTCAGGGACCAACAGAACCAAGGAGATGCTGCCTTTAGGGACCAACAGAACCAAGGTGATGCTGCCTTCAGGGACCAACAGAACCAGGGAGATGCTGCCTTCAGGGACCAACAGAACCAAGGAGATGCTGCCTTCAGGGACCAACAGAACCAGGGAGATGCTGTCTTCAGGGACCAACAGAACCAGGGAGATGCTGCCTTCAGGTTCCAACAGAACCAGAGAGATGCTGCCTTCAGGGACCAACAGAACTGGGGAGATGCTGCCTTCAGGGACCAACAGAACCAAGGAGATGCTGCCTGCAGGAACCAAAACAACAAAGGTGATGCTGCCTTCAGGGACCAACAGAACCAGGGAGATGCTGCCTTCAGGGACCAACAGAACCAAGGAGATGCTGCCTTCAGGGACCAACAGAACCAGGGAGATGCTGCCTTCAGGGACCAAAACAACCAAGGAGATACTGCCTTCAGGGACCAACAGCACCAGGGAGATGCTGCCTTCAGGGACCAAAACAACCAAGGAGATACTGCCTTCAGGGACCAAAAGAACCAAGGTGATGCTGCCTTCAGGGACCAACAGAACCAAGGAGATGCTGCCTTCAGGAACCAACAGAACCAGGGAGATGCTGCCTTCAGGGACTAACAGAACCAAGGAGATGCTGCCTTTAGGGACCAGCAGAACCAGAGAGATGCTGCCTTAAGGGACCAACAGAACCAAGGAGATGCTGCCTTCAGGGACCAAAACAACCAAGGAGATGCTGCCTTCAGGGACCAAAACAACCAAGGAGATGCTGCCTTCAGGGACCAACAGAACCAAGGAGATGCTGCCTTCAGGGACCAAAAGAACCAAGGTGATGCTGCTTTCAGGGACCAACAGAACCAAGGAGATGCTGCCTTCAGGGACCAACAGAACCAGGGAGATGCTGCCTTCAGGGACCAACAGAACCAGGGAGATGCTGCCTTCAGGGACCAACAGAACCAGGGAGATGCTGCCTTCAGGGACCAACAGAACCAAGGAGATGCTGCCTTCAGGGACCAACAGAACCAGGGAGATGCTGCCTTCAGGGACCAACAGAACCAGGGAGATGCTGCCTTCAGGGACCAACAGAACCAAGGAGATGCTGCCTTCAGGGACCAAAACAACCAAGGTGATGCTGCCTTCAGGGACCAACAGAACCAAGGAGATGCTGCCTTCAGGGACCAAAAGAACCAAGGTGATGCTGCCTTCAGGGACCAACAGAACCAAGGAGATGCTGCCTTCAGGGACCAAAAGAACCAAGGAGATGCTGCCTTCAGGGACCAACAGAACCAGGGAGATGCTGCCTTCAGGGACCAACAGAACCAGGGAGATGCTTCCTTCAGGGATCAACAGAATCAAGGTGATGCTGCCTTAAGGGACCAACAGAACCAGGGAGATGCTGCCTTCAGGGACCAACAGAACCAAGGAGATGCTGCCTTCAGGGACCAACAGAACCAGGGAGATGCTGCCTTCAGGGACCAACAGAACCAAGGAGATGCTGCCTTCAGGGACCAACAGAACCAGGTAGATGCTGCCTTCAGGGACCAACAGAACCAAGGAGATGCTGCCTTCAGGGACCAAAACAACCAAGGTGATGCTGCCTTCACGGACCAACAGAACCAAGGAGATGCTGCCTTCAGGGACCAAAAGAACCAAGGTGATGCTGCCTTCAGGGACCAACAGAACCAAGGAGATGCTGCCTTCAGGGACCAACAGAACCAGGGAGATGCTGCCTTCAGGGACCAACAGAACCAGGGAGATGCTGCCTTCAGGGACCAGCAGAACCAAGGAGATGCTGCCTTCAGGGACCAACAGAACCAGGGAGATGCTGCCTTCAGGGACCAGCAGAACCAGGGAGATGCTGCCTTCAGGGACCAGCAGAACCAGGGAGATGCTGCCTTCAGGGACCAACAGAACCACGGAGATGCTGCCTTCAGGGACCAACAGAACCAGGGAGATGCTTCCTTCAGGGATCAACAGAATCAAGGTGATGCTGCCTTAAGGGACCAACAAAACCAGGGAGATGCTGCCTTCAGGGACCAACAGAACCAAGGAGATGCTGCCTTCAGGGACCAACAGAACCAGGGAGATGCTGCCTTCAGGGACCAACAGAACCAAGGAGATGCTGCCTTCAGGGACCAACAGAACCAGGGAGATGCTGCCTTCAGGGACCAAAACAACCAAGGAGATGCTGCCTTCAGGGACCAAAACAAATAAGGAGATGCTGCCTTCAGGGACCAACAGAACCAAGGAGATGGTGCCTTCAGGGACCAACAGAACCAAGGTGATGCTGCCTTCAGGGACCAACAGAAGCAGGGAGATGCTGCCTTCAGGGACCAACAGAACCAAGGAGATGCTGCCTTCAGGGACCAAAAGAACCAAGGTGATGCTGCCTTCAGGGACCAACAGAACCAAGGAGATGCTGCCTTCAGGGACCAACAGAACCAGGGAGATGCTGCCTTCAGGGACCAACAGAACCAGGGAGATGCTGCCTTCAGGAACCAACAGAACCAGGGAGATGCTGCCTTCAGGGACCAACAGAACCAAGGACATGCTGCCTTCAGGGACCAACAGAACCAGGGATATGCTGCCTTCAGGGACCAGCAGAACCAGGGAGATGCTGCCTTCAGGGACCAACAGAACCAAGGAGATGCTGCCTTCAGGGACCAAAACAACCAAGGTGATGCTGCCTTCAGGGACCAACAGAACCAAGGGGATGCTGCCTTCAGGGACCAAAAGAACCAAGATGATGCTGCCTTCAGGGACCAACAGAACCAAGGAGATGCTGCCTTCAGGGGCCAACAGAACCAGGGAGATGCTGCCTACAGGGACCAACAGAACCAGGGAGATGCTGCCTAAAAGGACCAACAGAACCAGGGAGATGCTGCCTTCAGGGACCAAAAGAACCAAGGAGATGCTGCCTTCAGGGACCAACATAACCAGGGAGATGCTGCCTTCAGGGACCAGCAGAACCAGGGAGATGCTGCCGTCAGGGACCAAAAGAACCAGGGAGATGCTGCCTTCAGGAACCAACAGAACCAGGGAGATGCTGCCTTCAGGGACCAACAGAACCAGGGAGATGCTTCCTTCAGGGATCAACAGAATCAATGTGATGCTGCCTTAAGGGACCAACAGAACCAGGGAGATGCTGCCTTCAGGGACCAACAGAACCAAGGAGATGCTGCCTTCAGGGACCAACAGAACCAGGGAGATGCTGCCTTCAGGGACCAACAGAACCAAGGAGATGCTGCCTTCAGGGACCAACAGAAACACCACATCCTCTGGGAAACAGTAAGAACTTGACTCTGATCTGTTTGGCCTCTCTCTGCTTCATATAATTTCTGCACATCCTCAGTGTGTTCTGACCTTTGTCTGCTCCTGCTCCTCTTGAAGGTCAGCAGCCCCCCCCCCCTCTCCTATGTCGGGGATCTTCTGCAGCAGCCTGTCTGGTCCATAACCAGCCAGGCCCCCCCCAGGAGAGATCAGGGACTGGAAGGGTCTCTGGTTCTGGACCCCCGGGAACCCCCCGCTGAGCCCGGAGATCAGTTGTGGGAGCCCCCCCTCCAGCGGCCCCCCTCCCTGGTGGTCCCTGAGGACTGGCAGGGTGTGGAGGCCGAGGCAGAGCCGGCCGTACATGGGGGCCGAGCCGGGCCTCTGGGGGGGGGCCAGGCTGGGGCGGGGGGAGCGGGACCAGCTGTACGTCCGGGACCTCGCAGGGTTCGGCTGAGTGTACCATCTGCGTGGGGAGGGCACAAAGTCAGACACACGTTATGGTATAATATCTGAAGGGGGAAACACACACAGTCAGAAGTCTGACATTTTCATGAAGAAGAAAAAAAACAATGACTTTTTCTGAAAATATCAGAATATTCTGAAAAAAGTCAGAATATTATATTTTTGTAAAGTCTGAAAACGCTCCAAACACACTTTATATCTTAAAGGGATAGTGGAAATGGAACCTCAAATAGTTTCATTTTAACTTATATACAAGCATAATTACGTACCAAAACAATCACACCTGATTAAAAACATATAATAATTGCCTTACGCATGTTAGAAGCACTTTATTGCAGCTTCCCCGAAGTTTTTTAGTAACGAAATGTTCGACTCAGCCAAACCGGAAGTGACGAAAACTCAGGAAGACGATACTGTTGTGGAAATAATTATCATAAAACGCCAATTAGTAACATACAGGACAAACCTCGATGTCTGTTTACCTTCTTTAAGGACACAGGCAGCTTAGCCAATAATGTTATTGTTCCCATTCTGTGACCGGTCAATACTGGGATACAGATGGTCTGTGTTGTGGGTACACTGGGACACTTCCTTCTCTGTATTTGTGGACTCCAAGTAAAATCTTCGAGGTCATAAGTGTCCGAGGCAAGTAGCTCTGTGTTCCCACACTGTTTAGGCTATCTCCTCAAATATGTTGTTTACTCTCTGCGAAACCAGTTAGATGGGCTGGCAAGAGAGAGGCTCTCCAGAATTGACGTGGCAACTCTACCGTGAAGTCAGAACCTCTGACTCTTGGACTTGTGATGTGAATCCTCCGGCCGTTAACTCCAAATAAACCATCATGTGTTTGACATCAAAGCTACTGCTCTTCCCGTGTCTCCTTCCTGAGTCGGTGACTCCCACTGCATAGCTACACAGAAGTTTCCTCTACAAATACGATAACAAACTATGGCGTCTATGCAGAATGAACGTGGAAGGGCAAATATACCAGACAAAGAAGAAGGATTGTACGAGGTATCCAGTGATGATAGCGAGTCAGAAACATCCTCTCGGCTTTCCTACAAAAATGTCGTTTTAGGAACTGAATCTGAATCCGGTTCAGTAAGCGACGATGGTGACAATATTGAGCCAGACGATGGACCATTACGTCCTTATTTGTT